TACGTCTAAAGCCAGCATACTAAAGATGTAAAATTAATTATGTGTAATGGAATATGTTTGTGGACATATCTAGATCGTATTTCTGCAAGAATCATTGCGATAGACCTATTGGTCTCGAAGAAATCGGTCGAAATCTATAACAACCCAAAAATGTTTATCACAAAAAAGTATTTTGCTTTTTATTATTACTTTAGAAAAAAATATTACATAAAACACGTTTGGTCCTTTTATAGTTACAATTGCGGTTAACCACATACTATAAGCGATTTGTCGACCATTCCAATATATCACGGCATTTTTTCGTGATGTATTGGAATCGTCGACAAATCACATTCAATACATTATCGATCAGTATTTAATTTAATTTTTTCGTCCTAATCTTAAGATAAGAGTATTAAACATAGTCATTGCGGCTTCAAAACATCCCAAATATGTTTAGAATAATAAAAAAAGAGGTTTTGCAAAATATAACGCGAGGACAGAACCTTAAAAACTATTAAAACCAAAATCCGACAAACAAATTATTTAAAAAAAATTCGCGAAACCAAATTTTTCTGACTTCGAAATTTGTATGGTCCAGTAATATTGATCTAGGAACCAATATATGCAATGGAAATACCAAAAAGGGGGTCAGAATCAAAGATATGAACAGTTCTAAAGCTATAGTAATAAAAAGCAATACATGAAGTTGGGAGAAAACATCATTATTCTTCAAATCCTATTGTCTTTTGAAAAACTGTGGTTGCTGATGGCGAATACGCATTTTATATTTTATCTCCGATTAACACAAACAGTTGCGAATAAAATGCAGTAGGGAATAAACGGGTCGATCTATTTATTTTCGAAATAAGATGTATTTCTATTGCCAGAAAACCGTTCATATCTTAGAATCTGACCTTCTTATTGCTATTTTCATCGCATATATTGGTTCCTAGATCAATATTAATGGACCATAAAGTTTTCAAAGTCTGAAAAATGGGGTTTCGCGATATTTTTTTAATAATTTGTTTGTCGGATTTTGGTTTTAATAGTATTTAAGGTCCTGTCTTCGCGATATGTTTTGTAAAACCTCCTTTTTTTATTCTTAACATATTTGGGATGTTTTGAAGCCGCGACGACTATATTTAATACTCTGATTTTGAGATTAGGACGAGAAATTACCAAATATTAAATGAAATATTGCTGGAGAATGTATTGAACGTAAATGTGAGAAAATACTCGCGAAAAAATGCCGTGGTTTATTGGAATCGTTGCCAAATCACTTATAGTATGTGGTTGCCCGCAATGGTAACTATAAAAAGACCAAACGTGTTCTATGTAACAATTTTTTCTAAAATAATAAAAAGCAAAATACTTTTTTGTGATAAACATTTTTGGATTATTATATATTTCGGCCGATATCTTCGAGACCAATAGGTCGTTCGCTGTGATTCTTATAGAAATACGATCTAAATATTTCCACAAACGTATTCCATCATACATAATTAATTTTACATCTTTAGTTTGCTGGCTTTAGGCGTATATATTGGAATTTTTTCAAATTTTTGTTGAGGCAAAATACTTATTACACTCACTGTATATAGAACATCTTTTATGGGTATATCTTAAGGTAGCGGCTTGAAAATATGGTTGAGTAACATGGATACAAATACTCATCATCAAATGAGGATATGTTTTCGAACGATGAGGATATATTTTGAAATGCATACATATGTATGTATGTACATATATTGAAATAAAAATTGTGTAAAATTGAAAAAAATTGATTGACAAAATTTTCCATTTTGTCACTTTGTGAAAACATGTTTATTTTGAACAAAAATTTACTTGGATTTCAAAAAAAAAAAAAAAACTTGAAGTGAGTAGTGTGCATTTTAATTATAAATCGTTTTATCATGGAGGTTGTCGATTATGAAAAATTGCTAAAAAAAACTTGGCATTATAATTTTTTAAATTGTTGTTACTTTGCGAAAAAAAAATTGAGTTTCAAGAATAACAAAATTAGCACTATTACAGAAAACAGCGAATTATTTAATAACTGATAAACAACTACTACAACATAGACATTTCAAACTTTTTAGTAGTGTTAATGCTAACATATAAAAATACCAGGGTTTACCTAATTTTCAAATCAAATTTAGTAAATATTGCCGTATTTAGGATGCTAACTAATTGATTATATCTAATTATACCCTTCACCACACTGAGTTACAGGGTATTATGTCTTTGTGCATATGTTTTTAACAGGCAAAAATAATCGAGATAGACCCATGGTTCTCTTTGAGAATATGCAAAGAATCACTTTCTGAGTCGATTTATGCATGTCCGTCCGTCCGTCTGTTCATGTTAAATTTTAAACAAAGTACAGGTCGCATTTATGATCCGACTTGGATGAAATTTGGCACAGCTCATTTGTTTGGCCCAAGGACGAACCCTATTGAAATTTGGAAAAATCGGTTCAAAAAATCGGATTTAAGGTAAATTGTGTACCAAAGTCCCTATATATCTTTCGATTTGCACGAAATTTGGCATATCGTACTAAATTAAGTCTAGAATGATGTGGGCAAAGTTTCGTGAAAAACGGTTCAGATTTAGATATATCTCCTATATATAGCTTCGCCCGATTTTAGGTAAATAGTCCACTAAAGTCTCTGGAAATCTTTGGATTTGCACGAGTTTGGGCATAGCGTACTGAATTAAGTCTAGAATGATGTGTGACAGAATGATTTCGTGACAATCGTCTGATTTAAGGTAAATTGTGTACCAAAGTCCCTATATGTCTTTCGATTTGCACGAAATTTGTCATAGCGTACTAAATTAAGGCTACAATAACGTGTGCGAAGTTTCGTGAAAGTCGGTTCCGATTTAGATATAGCTCCCATATATATTTTCGTCCGTATTTATGTAATTGATGCACCAAAATCCCTATATATCTTTCGATTTGCACGAATTTTGGTATAGGGTACTGAATTAAGTCTAGACTGATATTGCTAAGCTTCGAGATCCATAGCTTGGCCGATTGACACAACGTATTGAAGAAATAATAGGATACATATGTAGAATATACCCAAAGTGCTGAAGGGTACCATATAGTCGGTCCAGTCCGACTTTACTGCTTTCCTTACTGGTTTTTAATTTGATAACTTGAGCAGGGGTCCCGCTAGTTATAGTATAAATGTAAAATATATCGTATTTCTATTTTTTCAGATATTCCTGACATTGGCTTTATTTTTGGCAGTTGTTGCCGCACGGCCACAAGAAGTCATACCAATTCTTAGGCAGGAGCAAGAAGTAAATTTTGATGGTTCCTACAAGTATTCATATGAAACTGGTAATGGAATTATAGCCGAAGAACAGGGTTATCTGAAAAATCCTGGCAGCAATGCAGAAGCACAGGTAAATCATAACGTTTGATAACGAACTTTTAAACAATAGAAACTCCGCAATTAATAATAGAGCGCCACACAGAAAACACAATTGCCAAAATTTCGGTACATAATACGAAGTAAAGAAGCGTTTTATTAAAAAAACCAAGAAGATACCTTTTAATAGGTACAGCGATAAACAGAAGAACAATAAGCTGTAAGATTAACACCCATTTTTCGGCAAGCAATTCGGACTAGTATCTGATGAATGAGGAACAACATTAACCATTTTTCATTGTAAAATGCCGCACTGATGCTGTGACATTTAGAAGAACAGCAACAACAGCAAGAAGACGATCGCTTTATATTGTCCCGCCAGGCATTCATAGCAAGATGTATTACATTTTAATTTTGTCATGTTCAAGATGCACTGCCGGTTGGTTGGGGCCACCAGCAGCTACAAACATTAGCACCGGCGTCAATAACATCACCACTACCAACTGAAGCTGGCAAATCGATTTAACAATTTGTTGCCGGCTATAAAACAACGTTTAGCTTAGTTCACTTCGACATTTGGACAAAATGTTCACTCGTTTGCAGTTTATTTCGTTTCTCTAATACCAATATCAATAGATGGCAATCTGGAAATAATGAATCATCGCAAATACAAATAAACAGTTCATTCTCCTTTCAATAATGTTTTTAATGTTTTTTCTTCATTATTTTAGGTTGCCGAAGGTTTCTTCTCCTATACAGCACCTGATGGCACTCCCATTCGTATTACATATGCAGCCGATGAGAATGGTTTTGTTCCACAGGGTGATCATATTCCCACACCACCACCAATTCCAGAGGCCATACAAAAGGCTTTGGCCTATTTAGCTACAGCTCCACCACCACCACAGGAACCCTCTTCGGGTGGCCGTAATACATTTGGACGAGGTTAAATGCCAACAAGGTTTGCTCTTAATTTTGTTGTAAATAAATTCCCCGGCAAATCCCTAACACCTCAAAATGCGTCGTATGCTGTTATTAAACAAATGTGTATCGTGTATAGGATCTGAAGAAATTACATTTTCATTTATACAAATCTTAAGTCATATTATTGTGAATTGTGTAAGCGTTAAAAAATATTATTATGTATATTTTAGCCATGTTATAATTATTTTAAAATATTTGTTTTTATATATATGTGCATTGAACAATGAATAAAGTCGTAAAGAACTTTTATTTCGTAAATTGTTTTATTGTATTCAAATTGGGTGATCACATATTCGAGAGGGTAGACATTACTAAAGGTGTAATAATTTCAATTATAGACCAGATGGTTTTCAATCGGCTGGCTAATGGGCGTGCATTTATTCACATTAATGAGTTTGTATATACGCAATTGAAGGCTTAAAGGATAAGAAAAGTAATCGATATAATTTTGTTGTTGTTATTTTGTAGTTGTTTTTTGTAATTAAGGGAAATTCTTGTTTTTGACGACGTCCGATTCCAAAAATTCCAACAGCATTCGAAAGAGTAGGTCATGATCGCTTGCATTTATCCTTGTTTATACGATAGCTATATACATACAGAATTACGTGTTAAAATTTGGAACGAATTGAACTAGTAGTTTTTGAAATATCGTGCCCTCAATTTGTAAAAACACTGTATTCTTAACCAGTCGACTATTAAGCAAACAATTTTTCCATGTGATTAGCAATCTCTTCCCATCGCATATAAAGTGCTGTCCAGCGTACTGTGTAAACGACTGAAACCAATGGTCAATTACATTATTGGACCATACCAATTACATTTGAACCATACCAATGCCTGGCAAATCCACCATTGACCAGATTTTCACTCTGCACCAAATCCTGGAAAAGACCCACGATAAACACATCGACACATTCCACCTATTCGTCAACTATAAAGCCGCATTTGACAGCCATATTTGTTCCGAGGTGATCAAAGATCTTATTTACCTTGGTACCACCAAAAATATAACTAACGACATCAGTTTTGAAATTCGCAGGAGAATAGTGTTTGCCAACAGATGCTACTACGGTCTAAGTAAGCAAATTAGAGACAAGGCCACCTCTCGCCAGCCCAAACTTACACTCTACAAAACGCTGATACTACCAGCGCTGGTGTATGATCAGAAGCATGGGTACTTCCGCAAGGATACGAAGTAGCTCTTGGCGTGTTTGAGAGAAAAATTATCCGAAAGATCTATGGGCCGATCTGCGTCGACGGTAATATCGCCGTCAAATGAACCATAAGTTGTATCATTTATTCTCTGACTGCGCAAATCCCGTGTCTTATTCCTATTGAAAATTTGCACTAACGAACATGGATGGACTCTGGCAAAGTGTACAAGAAGAATGTAACAAAATCCCAGATGAAATCATAAAACTAGGCTTAATATTAATAATTATACCCTACACAACTATATTGTCAGGGTATTATAGCTTTGTGCAGCCCCAAGAGTTTGTAACGTCGCGAAATATTGGTCATAGACCCACCTTTAAGTATACCGATCGTCATATCTCGATAAATGTATACAAATTGCAGCCAATTTCATAGAAAAACGTTTGTATAATCAAATTGGTTGTAATCTTTTATTTTCTATCGTGATTTTAACAGACGGACGGACATACAATATATTCAGACGGACACGCATATATCGCCATAGAATTTTATTCTGATATATGTATATATATATATATTTCCACAGCCTGTATTTATTTCAGCAAAACAACGCTTACTTAGTCATGAAATTTAGGTTGGATTGGATCGGTTTATATTTCTTTTACCATATCATATCATAGTATCATATTTTAATGAGTTTATGCCTAAGATTGGATAAAATCTTAAATCTTCCAGTGTGCATAGCAGACGTTTCGGGTCTGCTTGAAATCTGCCAGCGACATCTCACTCTTCTCAGTATAGTGGCGGCCACCTAGTTTCCGTATAACTATTGATTTAGTCGACTCGTGGAGCACATTATCTATGACAACGCTTGTGTACTTGGGTGCGGGGTAACCCTTATCTCCGAACATTTACTGCATTTGAACTTCAACGTGTTTTGGCCGTTATAACGCTTTTTTAATTGGCAAGAATTATCACTATTTATCCCAAGAGTTTGAACTTATATAACTTAATACCTTCAGTTTTACGATAGTTTAATAAGAGCATTGGCAACATAATTTCTCTAAATTCATTCTTGGGGATCAAAGTCTCGAAACCCTTTTGAATTATGAAGATACGATTAAATAATAAACCTTTTAAATTTTACCTCAAATAATCTGGTGAAACCCAGTATGCGAGTGGTTTATTATAAATGTGGTTTAAGTCTGTTTTAGGTTTTAATACAAATCTTGGTTTTCTAGAAAAGTTTACAAAACATATTTCATTATATAATATACTAGCTGAACCCGTGCACTTCGCTGCCCCTACTTAAGTATTAACATAGGGTATTCCACGTAATTGCAATGTTTTTTTTTTAAAGAACCTACCATTTGATGGAATTTACCCTTCTGCAAAACCTACTGCAGTACCCTTCATTCCCATTACCACCTACTTTTATTTCTGTATTTTCAGCAGTTTGCCCATAATATGATTTGGATCCCTTTCTCGCTCCGATTAATACGCCTTTTTACATTTGCATATCTCACTTATACTGCTGATACATACTGTTACATAATTAATTCGCGTCCAATAGATGTAAAATTTTTGAAACCTAAAAACAAAATCTAAAATTGAAATGTTTTTTTTATACCCTTCACCACACTGTGGTACAGGGTATTATGTCTTTGTGCATATGTTTGTAACAGGCAAAAGGAAACGAGATAGACACATGGTTCCTTTTGAGAATATGCATAGAATCACTTTCTAAGTCGATTTATGCATGTCCGTCCGTCCGTCTGCCCATGTATTTTTGTGAACAAAGTACAGGTCGCATTTATGATCCGAATTGGATGAAATTTGGCACAGCTCATTTGTTTGGCCCAAGGACGAACCCTATTGAAATTGGGAAAAATCGGTTCAGATTTAGATATAGCTCCCATATATATATTTAACCGATTTATTGTAAACGGTCCCTATATATCTTTCGATTTGCACGAAATTTGGTACAGCCTAATCATTTAGGTCTAGAATGATGTCTGCCAAGTTTCGTGAAAATCGGTCAAGATTTAGATATAGCTCCCATATATAGTTTCGTCCGATTTCATGTAAATGGTGCCCCAAAGTCCCTATATATCTTTCGATTTGCACGAAATTTGGCATAACGTATTGAATTAAGCCTAGAGTGATGTCTGCCAAGTTTCGAGAATATCGGTCCTGATTTAGATATAGCTCCCATATATAGTTTCGTCCGATTTTATGTAAATGGTGCACCAACGTCCCTATATATCCTTCGATTTTCAGGAAATTTGGCATAACGTACTGAATTCAGCCTAGAGTGATGTCTGTCAAGTTTTGAGAAAATCGGTCCTGTTTTAGATAAAGCTCCCATATATAGTTTCGTCCGATTTCATGTAAATGGTGCACCAAAGTCCCTATATATCCTTCGATTTGCACGAAATTTGACATAACGTACTGAATTGAGCCTAGAGTGATGTCTGCCTTATTTCGTGAAAATCGGCCTAGATTTAGATATAGCTCCCTTTTATTATAGATTGATTTTAAGTAATTGACGCACCAAGGAACCAATAGGAACAAAACGTTCTGAAATTAGTATAACCTAACCTGTGACAAGTTTGTTTGAAATCGCTTAATATTTGTATAAAGCTCCCATATATATTTTCGCCCGATTTCAAGTAAATTGGGAATCAAACTGCCCATAGTGGTGAAGGGTATCATATAGTCGGCCCCGTCCGACTTTACTACTTTCCTTACTGGTTTTCAAACTGACAAAATGAAAAAAATATAATGTCAATATTTTTTCATTTTACACAATTTTTTATCCATTATATGATGATAATGAAGAGATGAAAAACAGCAGACGTTAACGGAATTATTTAATTGGTGGTTATTGTTATTAACCCTACGGTCAATAACCAAAAAAGTATACGTAGATCAATAACCGTGGTACATTTGTACCCATCCAAAGATAGCTCTGTAACTCATTAAAAAATTGGACTATCGTGAGGTTTTTTGTTTTAAATTAGTCTATGCGGATCTGGTCTAGAAGTAGGAACTCAAAATTATATATACATTAAAATAATATATATTTAAATTCATGCTTAAATGATAATCTATCTAAAACAATCATAGTAAATTCGTTATAGCTTTCGAATGGGTTAAGCTTTTTTAGTTATATTTTTATTGGGATCTTATTTATGTTCCTCAACCCCTCTGCAAATTTTGGTGGCCCTAGACAACATGGGGCCATCAGGGCGACTCGTGGAATTCAGAAACTACCCTGGTTTTCCCTTGGTATACAGGGACTAAAACAATTATTATTGCCAATTATTCACATTTTATGAGTTTAGAGATTGTGATTGGCGCATTTTTAACATTATTTAATACTTTAAAACGTTATTTAATGATAGTTTTTAAATTTAGGATTGTAATAAATCAGACTAATTCGATTATAGAAAATGTTTCAGGCCCAATATGAAGAATAATTGGAAAATTACGGACAATAATCATTGTTTTTGTCCCTGTATACCAAGTGAAAACCAGGGTAGTTTCTGACTTGCAAGAGTCGCCCTGATGGCCCCATGTTGTGTAGGGCCACAAAAATTTGCAGAGGGGTTGAGGAACACCTAAATAAGACCCTAATAAAAAGATAACTAAGAACGCTTAACCCATTCGAAAGCTATAACGACTTTACTATGATTGTTTTAGATATATTATCATTTAAGCATGGATTTAAATATATATTATTTTAATGTATATATAATTTTGAGTTCCTACATCTAGACCAGATCCGCATAGACTAATTTAAAACAAAAAACC